AAACAGTATTTTCTATTAACCGCATGATACCAGCTCCAAGTATTCAAGTATGTATTTTGAAATAATAATTATACAATAGTTATACATTGAATTATTCAAAAATAAGATATACATTAAAAAAATAAAATTTAACTTTAATATTAATTTTTAAATGATGCATATTCAGCATTCTAACATTTTTTTCTCAAGCTCTAAACTGCCATAAACTTTTTATGTTATGTTTTTAAGATATAGAAATAACACTATGGGAAATAATATGGATGTTTTTTATTTTTATGTCCAGTGGACTCTACGATTCTTTTTTTCCTAAAATATGTGATTAACATAACTTTTTTTATTATTAGTAAGATATTATTGCGAAAATTAATGTGTGTATATATACATGGTGTTCCGTAGCAGGTGTAACATCGCTCGTGAGAAGATACACGGGAGCGAGATAAATGAAAATGTCTTATATCATTTTGCGATATTCGCAATAATTATTGAATTATTAAATATTAAAATCGCACAAATAAGAGCGGGAAGAAAGCGCTTGCCCGCCTGACCCGTAGGAATACAAACAGGAAGCGTGAGCAGTGGCTGCTATCTTTCTTCTCGCTGCGTGCGCCCCACTCATCGCCAAGCGCCGAGTGGCTATGTCGACACGCTGGGTCGTCCAAAATTGCGTGCGATAAGTAGTCATTGCAGGAGAGTTGGTTAAAGTTGACGAATAAGTGCTCTTAGCTATGTGACGCTCAGGGCAGGCGCGCGCTCTTCATTCCCTTATACCTAATTATCTAGTATTTATAAATAATATAATAGAGCATCTTAAGATGCTCTTTTATAATTTACATTTTAAGACTGTACTTAAGATTGTCTCGATTATGAATATCTTAATCTTTTTCCTTATTGTATTAAATTATGATTCTTCTCAGATAAATTATCTAAAATTAAAAAGTAAGCGACTTTTTACATTTGTCATTTTTAGATTACTTTCATTGAAAGCAAATTTTTCAAATTTTATTTCCTATAAAAATATGCACATTCGAATTTGAAAATTTTAATACAATTAAACCGTTATAATTGAAATCATTATAATTGTGTAAAGTGATCATGCAATAATCTGCATGAGATTATTTTAAAGAGCAAAACCTTTCTACTTTTACTTCCATAAATTGATATTCATTGCAGTTTTCTATGAGCTTTCTAATATTTCATTTTTTGTAATAAGACTTGTAACTGCATGTTGTCAGTCGTTAAAATGTTTTCTTTGAACTAACATGGGATCTCGCGAGAATCGTTCTGAGCGCGATGTGTCGCCTGATGTTTCATTTAATGATGAGTGCCTTCCAATGTTATATTCTCAGAAGGGGATGATGCGGAACTGGAAGAATTTTTGAGTGATCCAGCAACTCGGGAGCATTTCGTCGCGTACAAGAAAGTGGTTGCGGATTGTTAACTGTTTCTATAATGATGATATTTTTCACATCGACGGATTCTATTTGATATTTCTAATGACCTGGCTGTTGGAACTATAGAATTGCCGTAGTCTGTAGGACTCTATGAGTTATTTATTTGTATGCCTAAGACAGTTTTGGTTGATGTAGAAGTTAGTGCGGAAAGTGATTCAATAGATAATCGTACGGAGGCGGGGAATGTCCTTTCGGGGAATAATTCGGAACAGTATTAATAATTGTTATTTTAGTTTTAGTGTAGTGCTTATGTTTAGTGATCATCTTTAATGATTAGTTTTTTGGATATTCCTATTGGACGTTTCTTCGATGAATCTTTCTTTTTGTTTTTTTATTTTTATTTATTGATTTTGCTAAATTCTTTTTAATCGAATTGTACGCATGATTTATTTTGTAATATTAAATTAAAATTTCTTATTCTCTAAGAAGAGTTTTTTGATATCGAGAATTGATATCAAGAGAACGCGTTTTCTTTCAGATATTATTACTTTATTCCTATTTCGCTTTCTTAACTAAGGAGTGTTGTTCTGTGAATCTTTTGTATTTACTTTTCTCACAGTGTTTATCCTTCTTCCCCTCTTTTTCTTTCTCTAATTCGTCATGTCTTCTTTATGATAACCGCTTTCTGCTTGCTTTTTATTTTATATTATATTAGTCTCCTTTTCGTCGTCTTTTTAACTGTAAGGATATCTCCACGCGATTTTAATATTGTGATGGAGGATTATTCAGTAGTGTATGATTTACGCTGGATCATTACAAATTTGCCCGGCGCGTTCTTAGATTCGGACGTCGCTCGTTTGAACATTATGTACGTGCGCGCGTGCGTGCGTGCGTGCGTGAATATGCTTAGTTTTAATTGCTTAGTTTATCTGATTAATACTTTTGCTGTTTGTGTATAACTTCTTGTGGACCATACAGGATTTTATAATTGCTCTTCGTATTAGTAAATTCTAACATTTCCTTTTTATTATCTATTTTATGTTTACTTTTCTCTTAATTTTCCACGAACGCTTGTAGTTGCGTGTACGTCGCGTGTACGTTTATTGTGCGGCCCGCTTTTATTTTGTAATTAACAGTGCCTATTTTTTCTAATATTACATAGGATCTGATTCATAATGCATCAACTTGCTTCGATCATCCTCTGCGTACTGTCTCGTCATACAATAGCACTTTGTCTTCTTTGCTAAATAGACTTGTCTTCGTCTTTTTATCGTAGCGTTCTTTCGTCTTTTATTTTTCTTCCTTGACGCTTTCTTTTGCTATTTGATTCACTCGTATTCTTTCGCGAAGCTCTTGCGCATAATCATCGTATGTATATGAAGATTTGGGTGAGCTAGTTACGGCCGTATGTAACGATGCCTGTAGACTAATTCGAACGCCATTAACCCGGTGGCGGTATGCGAGTATATGCGGTATTGTGTTACGCGAACATCGTATACATTATTCACTCATCCCAATCTGTCTGGTCTTCGTTGATATAATGTCGCAAGTATTAGCTTGTTAGCGTTCGATGCGATCTTTCTAAAGCTCCATTTGTTTCTGGATAATAAGCCGTTGTCTGTAATTTCTGTATTTTCAAGAGTTTGCACATATTTTTAAATAACTCGTTTACAAAGTTTGTTCCCTGATCGGTTAATATCTTGTTAGGAGTTTTTTGTTACGACCATTTTTGTTACGAATTTCTGGGCTATTGTTGTAGCCTTTTGGTTTGGTATCGGAACACCTTTACTAAATTTTGTTAAATTATCTTGAAATGTTGGTATATATTTGTTTCCCGTTATCGTAACGGGCAAGGTCCTACGATGTTTAAGGCGCATTTTTCAAATAGTTTTGTTGATGTATCTGTTAATATTATAAATGCTTTATCGCGTCGAACGCACGCACGCACGCACGCACGCACGCATGCACGCAATTTATTTTTCTGGCAATAGTCACATTTTGAGATGTATTACTCAACATTTCGTTTTAGTCCTGGCCAATTGTGATGTATTCGAGTTCTGTTTACTGTTTGTTCAACGCCCTGGTGTTCTCCTATAGGTGCGTCATGGTACTCATATATTTTTTATCTTCTTCTTTGTATTGTTTTTCTGGCGCGGCGTCAATCTGTTGTTCCTTCATTATTGCAGCCACGTTAATGCATCGACGTTAACGTTGGCTTTTCCTGGCTTTGTGTATTATTTCGTAAACTGTATTTTCCTAACTTTAATCTCGACCTAATTAAACGCAAACCGAGGTCTGTTATATTGAATAATTAGATATTAAAGATTTATGGTCAGTAATTATTTTGAACTTTGTCCCGTATAAGTAGGATGTGAAATGCTTTACTGCCCATACTATTGCAAGTAATTCTTTTTCGATCGTGTTATAATTCTGCTCCGCGCTTGATAATACGGTGGCGTATATAATATGCGGGTTGATCTTGACTTACCTCGTCTTGCGATAATGGCTCCTATTGCATAGTCCGATACATCTATCGTTAAAAGAAATTCTTTTGTAAAATCGGGATATTTTAATACGGATATTTTAATCGGGATATTTTAATGCCGTTGTTAATTTGTCTTTTAGCATGTGAAATGCATTTTGCTGTACTGTGGTCGATTCAAATTTCTCTCTTTTCTTTCTAAATTTCGTCAACGGCTTAGCGATTCGTGAGAAATTTTCAATAACTTTTCTATAGTCCAATCCAACTAGTTCAATGAATAATTGCACGTCCTTTACCCTTTGAGAATGTAGTTTTGGATTCGATGAAATTCCATTTTCTATAATTATATGTTCTAAATAGATTACATCTTTTCATAAGAATTCGCACTTATCTGGTTGGAGCTTTAGATTGTTTTCTCTTAAGCGAAGAATTAATTCTAATCTTTTGTTATGTTCCTTAAGACTTCCTTACGTTCCTTATGGCTTCCTTAGTATCGGTCCACAATAAGTATTTAATCTTTAAGTCATAAGAAATTGATCAATCATAGTCAATTATTCTTTTCATATTCGATTATAATTGGTCAATTTTTTACTTCTTAAAGCTTAAATCACCTATTGTGGACCGACATTTATATTCCTTAAGGCTTGTTACGTTCCTTAAGGACCATATATTACAATGTCATCGAGGTACTAGATATTTAATCCCGTTAAGATTAAATTCATTAGGCGTTGAAAAGTCGCAGGTGCATTTTTCAAACCAAATGGCATTCTATTAAATTCATAATGACCGTAGGATGTAGAGAAAGCAGTTTTTTATTTTTATCTCGCTCCGCCATTGGTATCCGACGGTAACTTAACCTGATATAAGATCTAAGTGTCGGTCCACAATAGGTGATTTAAGCTTTAAGAAGTAAGAAATTGACCAATTATAATCGAATATGAAAAGAATCGACTATGATTGGTCAATTTCTTACGACTTAAAAATTAAATATTTATTGTGGACCGACATTAATGTCGTGAAGTATTTTGCGTTGCCCAGCTGATCAAATATATATTATGTTGGGCAATGGGAATGAGTCTCCGATTGTGAGATCATTCAATTTCTTAAAATCAATCACAATTCGTAATTTCGTTTTACTGAAAGCATCTGCTTTTTTCGATACGACTAATAGTGC